TATTTAGGAGAAAGACTTTAACTAAGTGAATAATAACTGCTAACTGAATGTTGCATTGATTTTATTTTAATGTTCTTTCTTCTGTTTAATTTTTATTCGTTATAATATTTCTAAGAAACCATGTCGGACGATTATGAACTAAACTATTTCGAATGAGCACTAGCAGTCAGTTGTCCACATCTTCTCTTCCGCATGCTTGACCAGAAATTACCTTCGTGTCATGTAGTAGATCATGTGTTATGATATGAAAATAGGTGGTTATCAGAGGCAGTTACAATGAATTGCAACGATACTTTATTTCAAGTATTGGTTTGAGGAGATTTGATTGGCTACAGAATTTCATCATGAGCTGACATTGGTAAGAGAACCATTGAAAACCTGGGAGTGCTGGGAAGCTGATTCGTCCTAGTTTGAGACTCTTCAATAGTACGCACCCACGGGGTTTGCACCCAGGACCTTCTGGTTACAAGGCGACCTCGTAGACCATCAAGCCACTGGGACCCGATCCAATGGCCCATGAATTCTTACTTCTACCAATTCACGACAAAGCGCGACCGCTAGGCAATGTCTTCGGCCAGTATTTGTCGTCACACCCGACCTGCTGCACCCTACTGGTCACGACGTCTCACTAGAACCCCAGGTAACTACCTACCTGAATAGGGCAAGTCGCTAGTGAGCATCTCATTGATATTCAAGTGTTTGTTTGTAGGGATTTGATTGATTGGTTATAGGATTTCATCAAGAGCTAACATTGGTTAGAGAACCATTGGAAAACCTGAAGGAAGTACTGAATAGCTGTTTCGTCCTAGTTCGGGACTGCCATAAAGTAGCTTAGCTGAAGTATTAAAATTAGGGCCCAATGAAAAAAATAGAAGAAAGTGTTCGAACTTCAGATCCCCATATCTTTTAACCGTGAAATGTTACACGGCCATATTTAGTGTTTGTTTTATCATCTCGGTGTTCTAAAGTCAGGAATCACAGTAATTCAATAATTACATTCAACAAAGCCACCTTTTTCAGTCATTAGGTATCTCAATAATGCTTAACAGGATGCTACAATGAAAATTCATTATTGATATTTTCAAAATTTAGCAAAAATTTCAACCAAAGCTTGGTTAGAATTTTCGAATGATTCATAAATTAATCAGAAGACCTCGATTCTTATCAACTTTAGAATTAATACTATACAAATACGTTTCTTTCATTTACACCGTGACATAACTCGAGCCGTAGTTTAAAACGTTCCAATAATGCCCTTACTGGAAACGTTTCTTTATGGTTGTTGAATGTTATTTCATCTAACCTATATGTCTTCATAAATTATATAGAAGATGGTTTTAATCATGATATAAATTATGCATCTCATGAAATAAACATTAACACATCATAAGTGAAAATTTGATTACAAATATGATGTAAATGTATAAATCTTGTTGGCGTGTATGCAGCAATCTTATTATTTCGAAATGTTCATTTGCTAATCGATAAACAACATAAAACAATCGCCTTCCACCCAAAAATTTAAATAGCTCAGTAATGAACAATTTCCACTCATTTTATTAAATTCGTAGAATATCAAATAAGGTTTCAGCATTTGCAAAACAAATTTTATCAAATATCTCTATGTATACATACATATAGGTAAACATATATTCAAAGATTAGTTAGATTTTGTTAAAATTACTACTAAAAATAAATCTTGTGATATAGGGACTCGTTAAACATGAGCTGCGTGAAAATCAAATTTAAGGAAAAGGCAACAACATGCCTTTCGAAATTCATAAGATTATTCATAGGGATCAGGCTATTTACAGTTGACTGAAATCTGTCATGATGAAGATTTCTGTGTGTTTAACATCGCTTATTGTTTTAGCAATACCTGGTGTAAAAAGGCCTCTGCAGGTCACTGACGAATGAACTAATCTACTAACAATGCTCCTGGAGAAAGTAATGAGTGACTAAGGTCTGAGACTTGAATAGGAAGCAAGCCTGTAAAAGAAGAAGTCCATTCCTCATTCATGATTCATCATTTCTAACAGTGATATACGACTCACACCAGTGATTTAATAGCCAGTCAGCGGACACATTGTAAACTTTACCGGTAGATTCAGACAAATGCTAAAGACGTTCGAAATTCTTTGGTGAGTACTTCAGATTACATCCTAATTATAAACGACATTATATTTTATGAGGTTTCATTTGCCAATCAGTTTCACAAATGGAAAATGTTACAATGCCACTCACTTCATGACTGGCTAAGAAAATGTATAGAAATATACTTCATACAACTTAGGGGAAGTTGTGAGTGCACGCATATTCGCAGTTAAGTCATGAGACAGTCTCGTTTCTAAAGAAAACTCAGTAGTTTTGCTCGAAATATTGTTAAAATTCGAAATGTATCACTGTGTATAAACAACCATGAGAAAGATGGATTTTTTTAATTGCTTTGTGTCCCGAGTGGAACATAAACCTCTATGTTTGAAGCCTTGAAACTTTAGGACTCATAATTTGCTTTCATAGAAGGGGTAGCTAGTGTCACACCTGAGAGACAGTCACAGAAAACTAGAGTTGAATTCAACCTTGGGTTTCGACTGAGTGATAATTTATAGTGTCCTGCAAATTTAAGCCTCTAACTGATTATCCATCAATGGATCTAGCCACAATATTTCTCTTTCCAGATTTGTTTAACTAAGTTTGACTGAAACAGTTTGATGTGAACAACAAACACAAATATTTATTGGGAACACTTAGAAAAGTTAATGGTCATCTGCGTTCAATCTGTAAAACTAACTTCTCTAACCTTCTACAATCAGAAATATGAGCGTTAAAAGGTAGTAGTACAACTCTGTTTACATTTACAGAGCAAAACTTTATTGACAATGCAGTTTTTGTGAGGCATATATTCAGGCAGTTTGACTTATGGGTTCATGTCTGGAACTGCATAGAACGCCTATTATATTTGTACCCATCTGTTTGGAGATACCAAAGATATTGAACCCTGGAGGCACAAATCCATCTAGGAATAGTTTTAAATCAATTATAATAAAGGGGCATTAAAATGACGTTAAGAAAATTCGTCCATTAAAATCACTTCGATATCTAAATATAAAACACTTACTGTTACTAATGAAATTATCAGTGCACTTACCACAAAATACTATTTGTTCAGGTGACCTACTGATTCCCATAACTTTAATAGGGAATTTTTATCAACATGGGAAGCACTTAAACTAAAAATTTTAAAAGCTGACCCTACATAATGGCCTAAGATTACTTAATTCTGATAGTTTTTGGGTTAATTTGCATTAGCCTGATAGCAATAGAGCAAACACATAATTTCGAATAAAAAACGTTTTAGAGCACTTACAAAAGTAGTCTTCACTCTCCATACAAAGAGATTTATGAAAAGTTATTTCAGTCCATGTAATATTTCGCTAAAAGTTTTGTTCGTCTGAATAAGTAGCAAGATAATTTCCACTGCTGATAGATATGAATATTATGAAAATCACTCATGTGAGATAGTAAGGCTAACAAGCAAGATAAAAGCTATCTAAACACTGAACGCCTCCTTTGCTAGCCTCGAGTCAAGACTATCATCGGTGTGTTCAGCTAGATTTATTTCGGAGAGTCCTTTTGGACCACTGAAATTTCAGATAGATACTTAGGCTAACTGGTAATATTCAAGTGTTCGTTTGCAGCGGTTTGATTTGATTGGTTACAAGATTTCATCATGAACTGACACTGGTTAGAGAACCATTGGAAAACCTTGGAGTAATGGAGAGCTGTTTCGTCATAGTTTGGAACTCTTCATCAGTACGCATCCACTGGGGTTCGAACAGAAGACTTTTCGATTAAGAGGCGCGCTCGCAGACCATCAAGCCACCAGGACCCAACCGAAAGGTCCATGAATTTCAACTTCATGATATACATTTAGCGCAACTGCCAGATAATGTCACGAATCAGAAGAAGTTGCAATTCACTCACCTTTGGGTTGGGTCCCAAAGACCTGGACACTTGCGAGCTCGCCTCAAAATCGGAAAGTCCTGGGGTTCGAACCCCAGTGGGTGCGCACTGTTGAAGAGTCCGGAACCAGAGTGAAACAGCTGTCCAGTACATCCAGGTTTTCTAGTGCTTATCTATCCAATTTTAGTTCATGATGAAATGTGTAACTGGTAATAAATAGATTAAAGTTCATCATTTGCCAAGAACACAGTTCAAAGTGAAACCACACTATTAATTTATTTTGAAATTTATTTAAGTGTATAAGCTTAAAATAAAAACTCAGAATATACACTGTTCCTCAAAAATGGAGGCTGATAAATTCAATCAGATTAAAAGAGATTTCAAGACAAAACAAGAAGATCCACTAGAATTTTGTTAGTGCAAAAGAATATCTAATTAACAGCCGAATCACCCGAATTATCATGAAAATTGTATTAAATTCCTACTCGACATTTACCCCACTCTGACCTCAAAGCTTATTAGCGGCGGTAGAATAACAATGACCTTGATTTAATATTGGGTTTTAACCGTGATGGCCTTTTGTGATTTACATTTTGATAGCATGTATCCGTATAAGCTACCTAGTACGTGTATATATATATACATATATATACATATAAATACATTTATGACATGTGGTATTTTATTTGACAGATTAGAGGGATTTCAAGTATGGTCATCAGTTAGGGAGCTACTGGGTCACAACTTTATTCTAAATTCAGCTACTAGTAGGCATTGGATTAATGGTTAGTACCTAATTTTCTAACACTTGAAAACTGGAATACATGGCCCTTTAAATAAAATAATCATAGGTTTGAAACAAAAATGATAAATGCTAGATGGAGTATGTTTCTCAGAGGCTTTTCAAACTTACTGGTACTTTAAAAGAATGCTTCCAGTTATTTTATGTTCCTCTTTGAAAAAACTGAATTTCTTAACCACAAAGACTGAAATATATTGAATCCAAACCGCCTTCTAGCATGTTAAAATTTCACACATTTGTAATCTGTGCATTGGATGCCTGAAGAAGTGGCAACTGCACTCCATTAATAATCATTTATCCTACTCTGCTGTTTGAAATTGAAAGCCAGCAACAAGATGAGTACTACCACTCAAAATTATTCACTGCAGAAACATATCTTTCCGTTTTCCTTACTATCTATTTCGTCTAGGCTTATTAACAAAGAAGTTAACCTACTTAAGTCAAACTGTGACTTCCTAAAAACAACTTTCTACCATCGGCGTCATGTTTTTTGATGAGAACAAACTCTAAGAACCGATCGAGATTCATTGTTGGCATGTATTTTAATCGATATACTTCTGTTTTTCAGAAATGTCCTCAGATAAATGTTCTATGGATGCCGCACATAAAGAGACAATATTATAAACGAAGTAATTTTCATGGCCAAAGTCAAACAAATAAGCTATTAGTATACCATATTTAGTCATGAATAATGCAGAAAACTGTCAAATTATCGAAACAAAAACTGTCCGTTAACATTCCTTATGAACAGAGAATAATAACGGACAAAGTGTCGGCAGTCTGCTTCTTTTCGTTTCTGATGTACTCATTACTGAAATATTGGAACAAGCAATCAGTGAAATGAAGGTTTCGTCAAATGCAAACCCTTTGGAATAAAGGTTTGTGTAAATAACACCCAAAGGATGTGAGTGATCTCAGGTGAAGAATGTGGTTTGCATTTAAAGAATACTGTTATGAGTTTGCATTAATTAGTGTGATAATTGTCTTTTTTTTAAATATTTTGTCCTAGATATTGTAAAACGCAACTTGTCAAAGGATAAGACTGAATTTGCATACGAAAATGACACTACTGACTGAAACAACTTATGCATTTATCAACAATAACTTACAAGAAAAGTCGATTTCAAAACCAAATTCAACCAAATATGAAGTTGTCCCAGATGAAACAAAAGAATATCTGCATAATGAAACGGTTGCTCAGTTTGCTAAACAACAACAACCAAATAAAGGACCATCAGAAAGAAAACTGAATTCCAGCAGAAACTATTTCTTACGCACGCGTAATGCACGCAGCAATTGTGGTGATGATATACAACTAAGACACTTCCGTTCATATACTCCAGATAGTCATGCATCTAATAAGAATTCCTTTCAGAGGAATACTTCGTTCCCGCCCTCATCATCACAGTCATCCTCATCTTCGTCTCGACAGTTATCACCAACCACAACTCCAAGAGCCCCACTCTTAGGTACAAATCATAAACGTTATTTAAGCAAAAGTAAAATGTTTAAGGATAATTTAAGGCCGGATTATGTTAGCAGTGATCAAACGCAGATATTTCAAGATCGTTTTGATGACAATAGACAAACAAAACCGAATGCATATATTTATAGTTGCAGCAATCTGACAAACAAACTACAAAGCCCACCAATATATAATTTGAAAATGAAAGCCAGACGAGTTTGGAATGTCTTTGAGCGTAAAATAAATAATGGTCGAGGGATGAGTCAAAGTAAATCAGTTGGAAATCTACAGTGTACTTCAAGCTCATTACGCGGTTCAGATTATTACATAAGAAGTAATAAAACACATGGTATATCCTGTACACAGACAAATATACCAGGAACTGAAAAAAAGGTAAGTAAAACTTAAAACGAAGTTTCGTTAAATTTTATTTGTGAGTCACGCAAGATTCAATTGTTTTTACTTGAAAATACTACTGTTTATGAACATAGAGCCCACTCCTTCTCATTCGTTTTTGTTGTAATCCTTCACCACAAGATTAACTGTGTTTACAGATGCAGCACCAACATCTTGAGGTTTTAAATAACTCGCTTATCGACTCCTTTATTCTCACTAAAAAAACCCACAATTTGCATGTCATCCTTCATAAAGAGGCTAAATATCATTCTAAAAATGAATTAGATTTTTGCAATATACATTGCAGTAAAAAGAAATGTTAAAATTTAAAAGAAGGACGAATTGTCACATAGTGCATTAACAAAAGAAACATAAAGTACCACGAATCAGGAAGTTGATATTTACACTAATTCATTGAATATACCTTATTATAGGGTGTTATAGGTTCAACCTAATAAAGATGAAGTTTTAGACAGCAAATCACCGCTGGATACTTAATAACACAGCCTTAATGCAATGAAAACTCAGAGACTCTGTCTAGTCCTATGGTTTGATTTTAGCCTATTTTTGTCTCAAGTAAATATGGACAATCTGCGTGAAGATCAACTCGTTCTAGATTATGCTTTAGCTGGTATCAGCTAGCAAGTTGCATCGATCAAATTAATTTCACTTCTGCGATCCAAAGTTACGCCTACGCAGGCTGGAATTAAACAGTTTGACATTAAGAGTCCTAAAAAATATAGATTTGCCTTGTTGATAAACTTTAACAAGCACAGACGCAAGAGCAAGAACCTTTCCTTAGCAATTCACGCTTAAATTTGGCTCCAAATCCCACCGCAGTTTATCGTGCAGTAGTGCTGAGCAATAAGGTTTGTCAGTACTCTTCAGATGTCACCGACAAAAACTTGAATGGCACTTCATTTTATCGGTTACATAGGTGAATATGAGGTGGACAGCTCTATTACAAAAAAGACAATATTAGTTTTCAACTTGTGGAGCATGTTATTTAAATTTTTAGGACAGAATAAGAATGTTATAAATCACACTTTAACAAGATACCCATTGATCCTACTACAAATACTATAATTAAAAACAAAAGTTAACATGATACATTAACAAGAAGAGTGGCTTCAAACCTGAAAAGAAGAAAAAATAGGTTACATAAAAAACGACAAGTTCAGCTAACGTGAATAGAACAGATATTATTCTTATTGTTTCCTTTAATTCCTAGAGGAACATAAGGCTTTAGCTGCATGTCTCTATTGTGTTCGATTCTCCGTCAACGTTTTCACTTGGCTCCACGTCTGTCCACATAATTTCATCTCCTCTTCGCATGACCTCCTCCATGTCACCCCACCATCGCACTGATGACCAACTCGCCGCTTCCTGATCGGGTTGTACTCAAGCGATGGCCTGACGTGTGATGTCACTTGTTGGTTTTCTCAGAGTATGGCCAATCCACCTCCATTTCTTCCTGCATATTTCTTGCACAATCGGTTCCTGCTGGTTTGATTCGCTCCCAGAGGTCCCTTGTTGCTGATCGTCTCTGCCCGGCCATCTAATCTTGAGTGGTGTTGAGCGAAGACAGCTGTTGATTAAACTCTGTAGTTTGTTTGAAGTTCCCTTCGTGACGCGGCGCCAAGTCTCTGATCCATATAGTAGCACTGACTTCACATTGGAGTTAAAAATCCAGATCTTATTTTTCATGCTGAGTGCTGTTGACCTCCACACAGACTTGAGCGTAATGCAATCTTGCCTTGCTTTCCTGATCCTACCTTTGACATTCTCATCAGTTCCGTCCGCTTGTAGTTTAAACGATGCTTCCAAGGTCGGGGTTATAGGAGGCTGCTTCTTTCAAATTTCTCCCATTTATGCTGATTGTTGTCTGTTGTTGTTGCTGTTGGTTAGGAATCTTCATCACCTCTGTTCTCTCTGTGTTCACCTGAAGTCCTATCTTTGATGCTTCTTCCGCCAACTTGTTGCTTTTCGCTTGTATATCTTCCAGTTTGTGGGGAATCAGACATATATCATCGGCGAAGTCCAGATCCTCCAAGATTTTTGTGTATGTCCATTCTATGCCTGTTTCCTTGCTGCCCGACCCATTGTCTGTCACATAACCCAGTCTACCGCAATCAGGAAAAACACTGGCGATAGTAGGCAGCCAGTCTAGTCTTACTCTCGTCTTCATTTAGAAGGATTCCGTGGGTTTCTCATTGTGGATTACTTGGCATGCAGCATTGTCGTACAACTGTTGGATGAGGAGTATAATTGTTAGCATCACCCCATAATAGTGAAGTAGTTTCCAAATCACCTCTCAGTTGACGCTGCCGAAGGCCTTTTAAAAGTCGACGAAGTTGAGGTAGAGAGTTGACTGCCATTCCAAGCTCTGTTGATTGATGATACATAGTATTGTGATTTGATCTATGCATGACTTGTTCCTCCTGAATCCTGCCTGTTCTGTTCGAAGTTTTTCATCCAAGGCGTGCTTGATTCTCTCCAGAATGATGCGGCTTAGTATTTTGCTTGGGGTGGACAGGAGCATAATGCCGCGTCAATTCTTGCACTGACTTAAGTTTCCTTTCCTTTGTAATATGAACAGGTAGCCTTTCCTCCAATCCTCAGGTACCTAGCTCTCTTTCAACTCCTTCTCCGGTAGTGTTGTCATCAATTCCGCTGATGTCCCGGGGTCCATTTCCAGTGCTTCTGCGGGGATTCCGTCTGGTCCTGCTACTTTTCCAGTTTTTAGCATCTTTATTACCTTCAAGATTTCTGTTTTCGTCGGAGGGTTGATGTCCACTGGTAGTTCTGCTTCCGCTGTTGGTATTATTGGTAGCGTTGTAGGTGGCAGTCAATTGAGAAGTCTTTTGAATAGAACAGTTACTCCACTGGAATTCAAATCCACTTTTTTGATTATGAATAACTTTGACAGTGAAGAACTTCCGCTAATAAAAGCTTTGCCCGCTTAGTTTTGTCCTTATAGAATAAGTTAAAGTTTGGCCAATCAGGTAGCGTATCTCCAACAATTCAGTAGAATAGTAATTCTACCTACTCAATGATTGCAGCGTCCCTGACTAGATTTTCCTGCACATTTACATTTAAATCTCCCCATTTTCGAACTTTTACTGTAGTGAACGTTAGTACCGTAAGCCTGAACGCAATGAGAATGTAAAAGATTCACGTTTGAATGAGACTATATATATATGTATATATATATATATATATATATATACCGAACACTTCATCAACTTAAGTCATTCACTGAACATGTCCATTCAGTTTGATGAACTGTAAGCTAATTTAGGCATCTGAAACGCTACTACTTATGTTGCCTAGATATCATCAACTAAGTCAGCATTAAAATGGAGCAACATTTTAAATCAAAGCTATTACATATTATCAGAAATACATTTACTCTGTTGATACACTAAATACTGAAACGTTGATATGAATTAATCTGATATCTAGGGAACATACACCTTGTGTAGTTTTTCAAATAAAAGCTGCTTTTGTCAACAAAAAAGTAAAACTCATTCTGTAGTGTTCTGCATCAAAACCTTGCTCTTTATTAGGTACTGCGTTGTGTTGTTACGCTTACCATTAATACAGTTCGATTGTGTCGTTGCTGGATTTTAAAACAAATTGAATCAAAGGCTAACTGTCAACTGAAGTTTCGTTTGCTCAGAAGTTAGACGCTCCTTGTGTTTTCTCATAATGAATAAGATAGGACTTGTGTGGTGCAAAATGTCGTTTTACGAAAATTTGAATTTGTAATCTGTCTTTAATTCTTTATCTTTAATTACTAAGTTGCCATAAAGCGGCACTGATTTTTTGATTTGATAAGTCGGTTAGTTTTGGTAAAACTTAGCTACTTAAAAGAAAGTAAATTATTTAGATCATTTATTTCGCATTGGCTCATTTCGGATACACATTTGCCCATGTACAGAATAAAATGTTTATTTATAAACAAGCTGACAAAAAGATAAATTTCAGTTGATTTTTCAACGGCTAAATAGCAAAAGCTTCAAAGCTTCTATTGTGTTACACATTAAATTACAGCAATTCATCACAATTTGATAACTTGACATCAATATTTATTTAAATATCGTAATTATTCTGTATTGTAGTTCGACACTGAAACCTCTAATAAAATCACACACTTTCATTGTCAAGGTTTTGTGCAGCTGACTGGCAGTGGATGGATAAAATAGAACTGATCTGTTTTATTGCAGGAAATCTACATATGAAATGCAGTTTTACCTGAATCATAGTAAGTACATAATCCTGAAAATTTTCGGCTATTTTCAAGGTCAGTTATGAGTAGACAAAATCGAATAATTATGTAAGACTGTGAATTGTTGCTTTCAAATATCACAATCTACATCTAAAGATTTTATTCTATATTTCAGAATGAATATCTCCGTAATAACCGCAGTGATACAGAGTACAAAAAAATCATGACCTTCCCACACTCAAAGTCATTTGATACCTCAGTAAATCTTGATGATAAAGGAAAGCTGCACCAATCCTCCTACATTACAAATACTCCTGTAAATGCAGAAGTATGTGCTGAAAACCATCATTCTGAAAAGTGTACAGATAAATATTGTGGAATGGAGAAATTTTCATATATACTAACACCGTGCATTATGCACCCTAATGCCATTCCGAATAATCCTACACAATGTGGTGATGATGATTTTATCAGAAAACTGTCAGGTATTGTAATCTCTAAATGCATGCTTCAAAATCATTTCCTGGAAAGATGCAATGGTAGTCATACAGACCACAGAGAATGTCAGCCTCTCAAGAATAGTTCAGAAAGCCCCGTTTACATTTTGCCTACAGGATTACCTATTCAAGAAGTAAGAGAAATAACCATCACGCGTCCGGATATTGGTCAGCGATTTGGAATGCGTATAGAAAAATTTGAAAAGGTATTTTATACTAAATGTTTTATGAAAATAATTTCTCTTTGTGTTGAAAACCGTAAACGTCTTGTGTACACTGATCATGCAGAAAGTCAGTCCCTCAAATAATGTTTCTTTTCATAAGCATCTACACAAAAAATTAGTGACACATACGTAACAGTATTATATTTATATTACCGTTAAACTGAATGGCAGATAAATAGTTATATATCGAATCGGTGTGTCATGCGTACAGTAAAAATGACCAAACTTCATTAAAGAACCAGATTTTAACAATTCAAAGAATGAACTGTGAGTCACAGTGTGATTTGACTAGGGAATACACTGAAGATGTCCAGAAGCACAATAATACTTTTGCAAGTAAATCATCTAGCTCAAATAACACAAAAACACATAAATCATCCACCTGGAATGACAGCCCTCATCAGTGTTTTCCTTTTTCAGCTAATTTGTATCACCCATTCTTGGCACATGTTGTATACGCTTCACTTTGTTTCTTTGTAAAATAATAAGCATTTCACTGTTGACTAATCATCGATAATTTCTAATGAAAATAGCCGTCAAGGTATACATTAATCTGCTTTTCAGCACACAGAGCATCTGCATATTTTTACGAAACGGATGCCTAATTTGTCTGATAGGGTATCGAGCCAGAAGCAATTAAGTAAGTAGTACTGCCTAGTTGCTCTAAGGCCAGCTAAATTTGTAACTTATGAACTAGCAACCCTCTCAAACAAGCTACTATGAAGCAATCATAGGGAGCAACAAGATTTTTAATATATTCAGTAAGGTGCTTATAAATCAAACAAGGTTGTGCATTTCATGAATAATTTAGCTATATGTTTAAGGATTATCGCAACACTCCATAAACAAATGTGCTTACAAACAGTGTCACAATCTGGTTATGGAAATGTGTAAAACAGTGGTGATTAAGGCAAACTGATGAATGCTTCCAAAACCCAGAGAGTGGTATTCTTGCAGCATAAAAACTGCTAATATTTTCGGGATGCAAAGGTTTCTGCGCTCATCAACCACGAACGCTCCAGCAGATTTCAAAAGTCTTTGCACCCTTAATTCTTTACATTTGTGCATCCTTCCTATTACCAGTTAGCGTCATGAAAATTCGTCTCAAATTATCTCCAGACTAATGGTCTGCGTCTTTTTGAAGAACCAAAAAAACCCCTTTTGTTTTGCGTCACTTGAAAAACAAACAGGACTTTATATCCCCTTTGAATTCCCAAGTGATTAATAATAGATATTTTCTCTCTTTTCGAGGAAGGTTCCGTTTTATAGATTGATTCTTTTTTTCTATACGTAAAGTAACTTTAATTGAATTTTAGATTTTTCCCGTCGATTGATTGGACCGAAGTGCTCGGTCTCAGGTTGACATGTCGGCTTCTTGAGCACATGCTTCCACGATGTTTGGGCATTCAATTAGTATTTAATTGGTGGATGGTGACTAGCAGTGGAATCCAGGATGCGCATTTTGCCCTATTTGGGACTCGTCATCTGAATGTACCTGCATTTCTCAGTGAGTGATGATGTTCCCACCGAGGCTCGAACCCAGTGCCCATAGTTTCCAACGCCAAAGCGTTATCCACTAGACCACTTGGGCCACGAGAGCCACCTCTTGTGCAACAGGTCATATTGGTTTAATTGAATTTTAGATTTTTCCCGTCGATTGATTGGACCCAAGTTCTCGGTCTCAGGTTGACATGTTGACATGACAAGTCCCAAATAGGACGAAATGCGTTACTGGATTCCACTGCTAGTCACCATCCACCAATTAAATAGTAAAGTAACTCTCTTTAAAGTGCTGTTCGGTGACATACAGTTGTAAAATGTATCATTTCCTATAAACCAAGTGATGTGAAATCATTTGCCACAACAGTGTTTGAATTCATATAATTTACTAAAGCCTTGTCTTCATTTACGGCAGTCATGAAAAATTTTCTAGTGGTGGAAAAAATAATTGTTTCATCTGTGTGAAAGTATGACACGATCAGACAAAATTCATTTGGCAGGCATTACTTGTCAATTCTCTTTAAGAAACTTGAAAATCCCCACTGAGTTATTTATAAGAAAAGGCTGTCGGCGAGGAGTTACTCCTTTCGGTGGTATCATTCTAAAGGTTTACATTCGCATATATATAGTAAGTTGTCTTAGCAACAAAATGAATATTTCCCAAAATGCGTCATTAGAAGTGTAAAGGTTAGACAACCAATTAAGTAACGTAGAAAGCGTTAGTCGAGTAGAAACTAAAATAAGTTGAGGAACTTATTATAATTGGCGGGTTTGTGTAGGATTCAGCAAATATTGAACAACAGTCAAGTTAACAACAGTGGTGATAAGGGGCAGAAATATAATAGGGGATGTGGGGACTGAATAATACTACTATGAAACAAAAACAAGAAATTACATATGTGGTGTTAAGACTGATCAGGTCCATTGTAGATTTAATGACTGAACAAACTGCTTTTGCATGCAGAGTTCAGGATTTAACATATGGATTGCCATTGCTTCTGCTGTTTGAAGAAGTTTAATTCGTACTCTTTTAGCAAGATTCTCACATATTCTGTAGATAACTCTGAAGTTCCTTTGTGGGTTAGCTCGGTATCCAGATTCGATCAGGTCTTTTTACAAGGTGACCAAGCCAAACTGTCACTAAATGAGAGTGCTTCAATTTGTTGCTTATCCAAATAACCTAATTAACTTAAGTCCATTATCGTGAAAAGTGCTGAAAAACTGTTGTCTCTTGCTAGAGTTTTACGAGATTGATTGGAATATCTTCTTTCGAATGGGATGATGGATAACTTTGGAATGGAGATCCATTATTAGGCATATTGACAATTAAAATGTGGTTGAAATAGCCTTGCGTTGTCATAACTAATAATACTTATGGGAGGAATAGTTTCTGCATCATTGACATAATGTTTTAAGATTGAGCTTAATATAATCTACCTTGATTTTTAAGTAATACTTGGTTATTGACAATGCCTATCCAGAGAAAATTTCTTTTTTAATTCTAGGGGGCATTTCTGACCACTGTGTTACCTGGTTCGGTAGCTGCACAAGCTGGATTAAAGATTGGAGATGAAATTTTACAACTAAATGGTGTTTCAGTACAGCCGATCTCGATCAACAGTATCAACCAACTAATACGATCAACGCAATACCACCTAAACATTGCATACCGTCCTAGGTTAGTATTTTCCCTTTCTCTCATATTGCATTATGATTCTCATAACTCCTTTTGAAGGTAATTTCATGCAGTAAAATATCTTCTAATGTTTTAAAAGTGAATACGAAAGGATAGTTCATTTACATTATAATTCTTTCCGAGAATAATATTAAATGACACAGTTTGTTGAAATAATACGTCTGTTTAACTTGTCGAATTTCTTTCAAACACCTCTCGATCTGTTCACCTGATTATTTTATTTTGAAGGTGTTATGATTGTTTCGAGTTGAACAAGATAAACAATCATAACCGCGTGAATCGAGTTCGCTAGTTTTCCACAATGAGTTTTTATAAACAGCTGAGGTTTCCGACTATTAAATATATAATAAAATGTATGCATTTCGAATAGGAGAAGTTAAAGGAATAATTAGTGAACAAGTTTTTCTTAATCTCAATCTCACTAATACATTCCAAGTTTACACATAAGGCCGTGATCATGACAGCATAGTTAGCAATTGTCAGAGGATTTTTTAAAAATACCGATAACAATAACACAGCGGTTAGGACACTCGCCGACCATGCACATGGTCCGAGGTTCGATCCCCCGCCGACGCATACCCGATATCTATGGTCGGCCTGCGAAATTTGGGCTACCGATATCACATGCTGAAAATTCCATACTTGTACCAGAAATACGGTGTGGAATCAAGCTATAATCAAAATTATTACTCTTGCAAATCTGTAAACAACAGAAAGATGAGTATAACCAAAAATCAGTTAAACATAACATATCATATCACTGGCGTTGGTGGCACAGTGGTTAGGACGCTCGCTGACCATGTACATGGTTCGGGGTTCGACCCCCAGCCGACCCACTCCTTTACCTTGCTTAGCCAGAAATAAAAGCTGGTGAGGAGGAAAGGCTGGGTATGGGGCTAGCAACCCCATCCTGTATAAATAAACACTGCTACAGAAACTTCAAGCCTCTAGGGTGAAGCCCCATGTTCCAACTGGAGCGTGAAGGAATAAAAAAAAGACTGATAACTTGGATGATTCAGTTAACTCTTCATTGACACACAGATTTGTTGAAGAAACAATAGCATCTAAGAAAGATTAATGACGGTTATCTGTCAGGTTCATCAACACTTGGCTCCTAATGCTTCAATGCTGATGAGATAATTTTCCACTAAAGTAAACTGAATGGATATACTGTTTAAGCAACTGACAATAAGACATTCACTTTTAATTATTTTTATACGTCTTTGTAGATTAAAGTAACATGTGATTATTTAAAAGAACCTTTTTCATCTCTCAGTAAAAGTAATTTAAAATACCATTAAGTAAGCAATAATACGTTAAGAAAAACTGATTTTTCTTTCGCATGATACATTATTTATCCATTTTCCTTGCAGGACAATGCTAGCTAAAATTAGATATATATCTGTGAAAAAAATTGATGGGCGAGTTGGAATCCGATTAAAACGAGTTGCTCAGGTAAATACGACTATATGTATATTTTTTGGGAAACACACTTTTTCCTTTTAAATGTAGGATTAAACATTGTGTCCACATATATCTGGAAAGTAATCATTTATGAAAACGAACGTGTTAATTGGTTGCCTTTCCTTTAAAGGTTTATGACTTTTTAGTATCATCAATTTGAGTTAAGTGAGTAATAATAGATAGAAAGAAGATCCATCAGGAATTATACTTTCCTGTACAAAAATAACACTGGAGTCATTCAAGTAGATACTATTAGTTCACCAATATTTCTGACAATAACACAGGTGAGCAGACTGTTTTAGGTGATTTCGCTTTCTTTAGGTGTACAATGCCATTTATGTACATTTTTTTTCGCAAAAATGGAAAAGAGACAGATTGTCATAAGTGTAGTTGCCAGTATTAATCAATACTTAAAAGAAGTTGAATAAAGGTCATAGACTTACGTATTCACATAAATCATGTAACGAGTGGTACCGAATCGGAATGCAAATAGAAACAAAGGAAATAAGACATTGCTTGAGAGCAAGAAAGAATAGAAGAGACACAAAGAGTTTGAAATGTAGGTTTAAAAAAAGGACACCATGATGACTATAGTAGCAAAATCGTTTGAAGAATTCTTCCATTCCACTTTTGTCCAGTCGTATTTAAATGCGATCATGCAGCTAACCCAAATAAATGCCCGAAAGATGCTTCTACTTCACTACTTGTCTTGTTTTTCACTAACAATGAAGGCCACTTATTCATGCCTCCTTTCCAGCTTGCACATCTACTCATCAGGTGTTTTATTGAGGTTATACAATCTTAGTAATGCTAAGGGATACCTACTCACAACGCCCTCTCTTTACTTCACATTATTCAATTCATTGGAAATATCTTAAATTATAACAGATGTCTCAAGTTACTCTTATTTATCGGCAACAGTTCTCAAAAACACACTTCCTTATAGTTCTAGTTAAAATGAACTTATGTAAACAATAAAATAAACTTTCCCTAGGTAAACAGAGGTGGTAATTGTTCTCTACAAGTTGCTATGTTTATTTATAGCTTCACTGCACCATATTTGTGGAATTTCACCTAGTCGAGATAGTAAATACTTGAAAAGAAATAGATGTAAATAATTCGCAGCTTATGAATCCCGAAGAACATTCATTCATAGCGTAATACAGGAATTAGTAATCGATATCGTAATATGATAGGCTTCCACCACACACCAGCAATTCTCTATCTGTGACGAATGTACTGAGAGTTTTCCCACTTTTCATTTCATATTCAAAGTTGTAAAATCAAATGTGGGATGACACTAGAGAACTACAGATACAAACACAGGTTTCTACTTATTTGACAAATGAACCAATTCTCCTCATAAGACATGGCCCCAATCTCTGATTTAATTACAGTCTCACTAACTGTTATTAACAATATTAAGTCAGTATTGATGAAAGTGAAAATATCCTTTGATGAATAGCGAAAGTTGTTTGGCTGGTACAGTCTTCTGTCAGTTAGTTAGCTGTGTTATGAATCAGCATGAATCCAAGTGAAAGCAAATTCCTGATCTGTTCGAGCTTTAGTGACTAATACTGTAACCTTTGATTGGCATTTAGAACTACAGATACAGGCTGTTTCGAATATTTGGTTAGTAGGACAGTGAATCATTGGAGTGTGTGAGTGATTAAACAAATCAATTGAATGGCGTTCATAACTTTTCAGAATGCCCATTTTAATCTACTTGTCAGTGAAATTTATTTTACAGTCATCTCAGTGAATCCATTTGACAATATTTAGTCGAGCGTTAGTCAAGTTGTAATTAATTCATTTAGAAAATCCAATCCTAAAATTTCCACATGACTTTCCTTTGTATTCATTTGTAAAAGCATAAATCACCGAAATCCTGGCCTATTTTAATTACACTGAAAACATTTTAATTAACATGCTTTGCATATCTTGGTCAATTAAATCCTTTCTATCTTGCCAAACAATGTACTTCTTGTTAAATCACTTCGGGCGAAGACCACATTTGTTTAATTTATCCGTCTATTTACTACTTGAACTCAGATTGTAACTCGTAATTCCCTCTGGTGTTTTCATCGGTACAATAGGATTGTCATTTTATCATTTACAAATTATTGACTGTGACGAGACTGTCCATCATTTAAACCATTAAAGTGCGCAGAAACGTCTTCCAAAACGTTTGACCGAATAGAATGATAATGACAACCTTCACTCAGAGATGTGAAAGTCATATGTTTGGAATCCAACTGGTGGGTTTCAATTCGATGAGTTGGAAAGTAGGATTTCACCACTCGCTTAAAGCATCTGATAGGTGTTGAGTCTAGAGAAAATGGAATGTAATTGGGAACTGACGACAACCATCTGAAGGTGGAGCTGAAAATGAAAGTGATACACTTGTTCTGAGTGACTGAAGGTTACCTCAAACAGCAAGCGGTTTACTGAAAGGATGAAATGGCTGTTGACGTGATTGAAGTTAGGAAAGTAATCGCATCAGTTGGCCACCACTTCCAAAAGGTCAAGCACTAGGATAAATTATGAGAGGGACTTTCGAGACAACCGAGAAACAAGGTCATTCAGGTTGGCTTCTCATTGCATAAAGTGTCTATAATGTATGTGTGAAATATAACCTTGAAATTTAAAAAAAACACATCATAAAACATTTCAATGGTTTGTGGCTGAACAATGGGATTTGAACAGTTGCCGTAAAATTAAATTTTGCTGATGTAGGTGTTGAATATGTCCACTAGAAAGACGATGAAAGCTTGGTAGTTAAACCATTCAGTGCAGAGAGAACAACAACATCCAAAAGGAATTGATTTTACACACTGATCATGCTTCTAAACACGCCAAGTGAATTTCATCAAACATCGAATCATGATGCACAATACTGATTAGTCGACAGCCATTCGTCTGTTCATACTGCCTTGTTCACTCATCCTTATGAAGCAAGAGATTATTTATTTACTTATGATAGCACACATGTTATTTCATTAATATCTAGCTTCTATTCAGTTCACCCAGGGAGTTGAAACTGACGGAAATTTTGAAATGTGTTACTTGTATGGAGTGACTGTATCTGCGAACTCCTGGTGAATAATTTGTTATACATTTTTACTAAATGCAGACACCCCTCATCAACAAAATAACTTGAATTATCCAATACAGTGATAGGGCTAAGGAATTCGTCTGATGCACACTCCAACCAAACCATTTTCAGTGGCAACACTGATATTCGGTTTTGTATTGTATAGCAACACTGGTAGTTAGTTACTCAGTCAATTCGGCTTTATCAGTCTATGCAGTTACTAACCGGTTTATAAGTCTCATAATGGAAAGTGCTCATTTTATTAGTTTCTACTAAACGATGTAGTAAAAACTGAGACAAATAGCAAAAGGGAATACTATTCTTCCCATTGCAGATTAAAGCCTAGACTAAACTCATGTAGCTAAGTATAATTTACTGAATATTCGTAATTCAGGAATACTTGTGAATTCCACTTTAATGTTTTTCCAGAAATTCAGTGACAAACCACAACTTACTACATATATTCTATTATTATACTTAAAAGCAAAACCAAAAAGTGCCTTGGTAATATTACAAATATATATTTCTTTATTTTCATCTCCTTCACCTTATACAGGGACTGTATGTGGATGTTGTACTCCCCAACTCAGCAGCATCCAAGGCAGGCATCAAAGAAGGCGATGAGTTGGTTTGTGTAAATAATCAAGTTGTCACTAGCTGGAGTCAAGAAGCAGCCTCAAAGCTTCTCCGTGAACTGCCAGATGACGACTTTGTGCTTCTCCATCTTCGAGAACTACTTCACCCACATGCTTTCTATGATCCAGTGCAGCTAAATGGACATGTGATTAATTCACCTCTAAGAGAATGTTACTCCACGACTTGTTACTCTACTCTGAAGTCCAATCTGTCAACAGATGATTTCAGAAAATACAAAACAATGAACACTGATCAGTCTTATTCCCCTGTTAAATCATCAAACAAAGTACCAGTGAATAATCCAGAAAAACAATCACTTCCGCCAACTTATCATGAGGTCGTCAACCAAACTCTTTGTTCAAATTCCAATTCCTATGATGTCAAAAGTCTCTCGGAGCGTCCTAACACAGAATATAGTCAAATGTCTTTGGGGTCCTCAAATAACGACGAACGATGTGAAATACTCCCGTTTATGTCGCATACACGTATTTTGAATAGTTTTAGTGACTACTCACTTGGCTGTTCCAAATGTCTGATGAATGATCAACAAATTCAATAATATTGTACAGTCATTTGTAAACTATCACAAAATAAAATTCACTACTCCACCGTAACCTGTGTTCTCTTGCACAAGTTTCCTCTAGACAAATCTGAACATTAATTTATAGTTTTCAACAATGAACCTGTGAGTGAGGGTCTTATTGTAAACATTCGTCTCTTACACTGCCTTCCAGTTCATCAGTGAAGGGGTTCATTTTGATGATATGGACATTTGTTTTAAACTGTGATGTGTTAAATTTAATTGGCGGGTGGATATCGAATAAGCAGAAATTTGGATAGAATGTCAGCAAAATTCAAGAAACATGAACTGCGAGTATGGACATGAAACAGAACCACAGAAAACGTAATTCAAGGAGAAATTTCCCAGAGGATCAAAAATAATAGTGTGGTCTAGAACTCAGCTATTGAGATCTGAATAATCGGCACTCAACCATCTAGAAGATGGAAAGTTTCTCTAAATGTTTTACATCACTTGTACATTTCAAAATGGCGTAAAAATTTATAACATGTAGCTCAGATTGCAAATGTTCCAGACTTCTTGATAATTTTTAAAGCTTTCCGGTTTATGCGTATCACTAAGTAGAGGAACTGTTTGTTTCTACTAATATTTTTCTCGTTGTTTTTTTTGTAGCGGTTGGAATGCGTTTCCGGGATTGTATGGCAAGCCCCACGCCAAACCTTTTTTTCTTTTCCTGGGCTTATGACCGGCTAGATACTAAGCGAGGTAGTAAACTATGTGGAGTCGCGTCATCCTGGAGAGAATAAAGGGTGCACTGGTTGCCGAACTCCACCAACCGGAACAAGCTGGCTGGATTCAGGAAAGGCAAATCATGTGCTGATCAAATAGTAACTCTATGAATCATCATCGAACAGAGCATAGAATAGCAGTCAAACCTCTCTCCACCTTAACTTCATCTACTTCGAATAGGCCTTCAACACACAGCGTTGACAGATAATTAATTTCAAAACAACTTCAACTGTCTGGTGTGCAGTGCTCAAATCTTTATTAACCTCATTCCAAAGCTGGCTATACGACAATGTCACGTGTCACGTGATCCACAACGGAAACTCCAGCGAGCGGTTTGAAGTGAATAGAGGAGTAAGACAATGCTATTATCATCGATGGTATTCTTAATTATGGTGGATCGGAATATGCATCAGACTGTGCTTTTGGAGTTAGGAGACAGGAATATGCTGAACTGACTGATAAGAAGACTCTAGGAGATCTGGATGTGGCGCGTGGATGATTTATATTTATTATTAAATAGAACTGAAGACTTGCAAGCGAAAAACAACTAACTAGCTGAAGAAGCAGGCAGCAAAGACAGGACTTCAGGTGAACATAGAGAATTAGGTAACTTCCTTCACTTATCTAGGAAGCATCGTTTCAACCACAGACGTAAGGGATGAAGATGTCAAGGCAGGATACACCTTCCCCAATCTCAAATCGGTTTGAAAATCTGCTCTCACTCAGCAGAAAGAACAAGAATCAGATTTTCAACACAAGTGTGAAGTCAGTCAGTTCTTTTCAATGGTTCAGAAACTTGATGAACGCATCACGAAAAGCAAACAGACCTCCGCAGACCTTTATCAAAAGCTGTCTTCGCTCTATTTTGAAGATCAAATTGCCAGAAAGAATTAGCAGCAAGAAACCAACCACGAACCGATCGCTCAACAAATATGTAAAAGAAAACGGAGATGGATAGCGCATACGCTGAGGTGACTGTCGAATAACATCGCTCACCAGGCGCTGTAGTGTGTCGTTCGAGGGTGACACGAAGGCGATAGTGCGAGGAGGATATGAGAGGCTACAGGCAATAATGGGCCCATATGAGGAGGACAAGAGAAAATAGAAGAAAGTGGAGATGTGTTGCAGAAGCCCTATGTTCCACTTGGAATCCAAAGGAATAATAATATATGTAATGGAATTCTTGACTTACTATGAAAACTGCATTTGTGAATCCTTTCTTACCAAGACATATAAAACAAGAGGTATTGGGATTTTATATCAACAGTACTTGTTGAAGTAACAGCTTATTCTGTTATTAGCTCATAAAACAATCAATGACGCCTTCTGAGACTGACAGACCTGTGACATTCCGGATGTGGGTTAATAATTAAAGGTTAAACAAAACTTATTCACTACGCGAATGGAACCATAAGTCGCCATATTATTAGAGTAAACGATTTCTAATCATATATTCACAGTAAAATTATGTATTGGTTCGTAGGTGATAACCTGTTTTTTGTCAGCTGAAAGAGATTACTTCTCGTTGAAAGCAATCAGCGTATTATATATACATAAATGTCCGTGAGCAACTTAGAATAATTCCGAAGTTTATTCATGACAGGAGTTTTTAATTTTACCTGTGAAAATTTCGGTAGTAATTTCCTTTCTGTACAGAAGGAAAATTACATAAGAAAAAACCTGAAGTATAGGTAACGACCGATATTTCAACATGGTAATTCTTATGACATAAAGATATTTGCTGATGGCATTTATATGACTCACCTGTTCTAAGAACAACCGTTTTTTTAAAACTCTATCATCTGAAGATAACGGGCATTTCAATTGCAAATAATTCGTCACACTTATCACCCCGTATATAATAGTCAGTTATTTATGATACCGAATTTTACCATATCTGTATGACGTGACGAGTAAATCATGAAACAATAATTTCAGAGCACTCGTCCTGTATGTGTTAAGAGGATATTCGTGTAGCGCAATAACTGATTTCAAAGCCTGTCCTGAACAATCTATCCGCTGAACTGATATTTGAATATTTCAGCTGATTCTGTATGCGATATCCCTTACCGATGTCCTGCGTATCATCATTCTAACCATTCATATGTCTTCTTTTGACTTAATCCTTATAATTTGTCTTTGATTTTTTTGATTATAGTTCTTAATGCCCTACTTTACTGTTGTGTAATGGTGTGCTCTTGACTACAAACTATCATTTTACTATTGAGATTTCGTTTACGTGAATTCAAGGTTGTGCAGTGGAGTAGCAGTGTGCCTTTGAACTGTTAATGGGAAGCATGTTTAGAATTATCATATACATAAGTATGCTGCATCGTTTTAACACACAGCAGCTTAATTCCGAAGTTGTCAGTTATTATTTATAAAATAGTAATTATCCCCAACAAGTCTCATCTGCTAACTGATATGATGTGAAACTACAATATCTTTTACAGGTGTTTTCTACATGTTAACCATTTCCATACAGAACATCATTAAAAATGGGCGTTTACTGTTTATAAAGCTGTTGTCATGGGAACGCAGTGTTGAATATCTTATTCACAATTCAGTCGTGACTGAATAATGTACTTTTTAGTGTCTTTCTTCTGTGTACGTGAATTATGTTTTATATATATATGCCTCGTGATGTCTAAAGCTAACATTGCAGTAGGCACTAGATTCGTCTGGTTGAATAACCTTCTTATAACCAATTCAAAGCTTCATGTACAGCGTTTCGGCTTTTTCTTTAGAGCAGTTTTTCAAAAGAATAAATGCTTTCAATTCAGACTTTTCATTCATAAATATAATCATTCTTCGGCAATACGAAAGCTAAGAGTATAACTAATTTATTTTCTAGTGGTTTGGTTTAAACTGTTCTTATGTATAAAGACTGTACCTAAAGTTCTACCTAGTTTATTTTGATGTTTAGTCTTTCTCCACTTTATGTTTGTCATATATCGGAAAAATTCATGTTTAAGTTTTAACAGAAATTTCTATGCATCTTAGAATAGGTCAAATGAACGCAGAATTTTAGCTTTGAAAGTTTTTTATATTTCTGTCATATCTACTTTTACATTATTAACGTTGTTTACATTATTTGTCTGAAATGCATGAATTCTGGAATCATGTATCACTGCATGATGAATGAAAGTAAACAAGGCAGGTCGCAGAAGATTTAAGTGTCAGCAAATTAACAGAACAGAGGATTATAAGAAGAGTTATAAAATGAAGTTACTGACTGTGGGAGTGTTGAGGAACATGAGGAATATGTGAAATGGTCATGTAAAGTGTATTAAAGTGTTACATTCAGAATACTGATATGTGTTGGAATATTTTCTCTGGTTTACTAATTCTAGGAATGAGGTGTATAAAAAGGATACTATACTAATTTCTGGCATACTGCGATGAAGCTAGTCTAAGCTTTCAACATTCACAGCAGTCACTGCAGGTATGATACTTGACGATTATCACCCAATTTAAATTGTCTGTTATTATAGATGAGTACGACGAAAGATTGTAAAAAAATTACGACAATTTAGTATTGCTTTGTATTCTTGCCCAAATTATCAGGCACTGAATCTTTTCTATTCCGGATAACACTTTATAACCTAAAGCTATTCGATAAGTTACTTTTTTTTAAACATGGAACCAACAGTTGCTATTCACAATTCATTTATTTTGTCACAAGCGTGCTAACTAACTATTCCTTTATATGTTTGAAGTACCATCCTACCAACTGACTTTTAATCATATATTTTCAGACTGTATATGATGTTTGCCTGTTCTTTCGTCTGAGTGTGTATGTTGTAAACTTGCTAGTTTCATCCTGCCATGTAGTGATTATACTAATTCAAAAAATCATTTCGACTACCTTAAAATCAACTAGAGTAAGAAGTTAATTTGTCATTTGTACAACTGTAGAGTACAAAATAATTTCTAAAACAGGAAGATTATGACACTAAATTTATACAGGTAGTAAAATCGCTGGGTTATTTTTTCAGTCATTTGCCTGTTTGACGGTATCATTGAACAAATCTTTAAAGGATACAAACATAATCATTATCGCACAGTAAAAAGTGGATATGCAGACTACTTATGTAATACGTGCACGTGAATAACGCGGCAGTAGACAAAGTGTAAGACTGTTTGTTTGAAGACTGCGGACGATTTTAAAAGAGGCGAAAAGGAAAAAGACAGCTGACACAGAATCAGGGATAAGAATGTAGAATATATACATATATTAACTCTAAAATAAACGCTATCGAATTATTGCGAGATACAGGAACATAAGAAATGGCGTAAACAGAGAAGAAAATTTTCTTTTCGACGATTCATTTTCATGAGCTGTACAATCGTAATTATATCAAACAAAGAAATCTTTAGACCAATCAGATACTGGTAAACTTTCTCCCCGAAAAATGTATTACATAATGTAAGATGTAAG